TATCGAGCACAATTTCCCATGTGCCCTTGAAGAATCCTCCCCAAATAAAGTTTTCACCAATCCCAGTAGCTTCCTGCAAAATATTTCAGTTTGCATGAATTTGCTTTTGCCAAAAAAATGCAGTTGAAAAATTCCTAACAAGCTCTTCAAGTGGATGGTCCGTTTAAAACCCATGCCTTAAAAAAATAAAAATACAAAAAATCCCCCCAAAAACCAAAAACCAAAACCAACCGACCAAACAAACAATGCTGAAATCTTTGGGGAACTGACATGGATTTTTTTTATGTTTTAGGGTCAGGAAAACTGCAGTTGTTACAACCACTGTAAAGTTCAGGGGAAAAAAAAGAAGAGAAAGGATCTCAAAGTAGAAAGAAAAAACCCTGATAGAACAAGAAATGCAACCACTGATAATGAATGATGTGTTGCTTATAATCTCCCAGGAATAAGTCTCCCTCTTTCCTCCTCACCGCAGCTACAGCTCACATGTTTTAACTGACAGAATAGGCGGAGCATGAGCACTGTTAGCACAAATTCAGAAAGAGAGATCTATTAGGCTTCTATCACATTGCACCTAAATAATTTAGGCAGAAAGGAAAAAAAAACAAGTCAAACCAGTGCAATAGACTTCAAGAAGGAGGGTTGGGAGCACTCCCTTAATGACCATTATGATCAACAACAAGCCCTTTCTGCTTTATTAAATGGAAAAAAGGCTGCTGTTCTTTCCTGCAGAGATTCATCCTGCTTGTACTTATTAAGCTAGGTGCTTTGGGTTTCTGCAACCAGCTAACTCATTTGCCTACAACACTTTAAATACTGTTTGAACTATGTCTTCCCTCCACCCAGTGTAGACTTGAACGTGCCATTTCACACATGTGTAAGCATCTCAGGCTCCAGTTTGCATAAGTTCCATGCTCTTTTTGTAGCTTGTGATTTAAGAAAACCCCTAAACTCCAGGAAAAGTCAACCTTAATTACCAATTTTCACTTCACCTCAAATAAAAAATTATACAGAAATATCACTGGTTTTCACTGTTTCATAAGTTCTTGACTCTCATGAAGGTTTTCAACCAACCAAGGTTGAATGCCTGATCTATAAGAGTAGGAACAGACATTGCACATGTCCCTGGATGTGTTGTGCACGTGTTTGTCCCAGAACAGAAATATCCCAGGATTGGCACGTACACACATCTCCCTTCTATTCACAGTTTAGTGAGCAGGTGAATGTACTGCCACTTTTCTGCCACTGATTTAGTCATGCCATCCTAAAAGAGTCATTCACAGAGATGACCGTAGCAGGGTGTGGGGCCCGGAGCAAATCAGCCTATGCGGGGCCCAGACACAGCAAGGGTGAGGGGTGGCAAGCGGCTGGACGTGAAGCCAGCCTGGCTCTGCAGGACCCCCAAAAAGCAGGGGGTCCGGGGCAGTAACCCCAATTTGCCCCCCACCCCTTCCCTTCCCCAGGAATGGCCCTGGCCATTTAGATGACTTTTGCAATATCCCAGAATAAACTAAACCCGTGAACCTTTTGGAGTTTATCCCAGGACAATGGACATGGACCTCTGAAGGATGGCATCTTGTCCCAGGACAAAGTGGTTTATTCTGAGACAAATACAATCTCTGTCAAACCAAATAAGTTTGGATTTTTTTTGTAGGGCATGTTAGAATATGCTCAGTAACAACCAGTCATTTTTCTGCCTAACCTAAATTCCTTACTAGGCCCTTTTCTGGGTTGGAATTGCATTACTTGCATCACATCAGAAACGCACTAGTTTAGCAACTCTGCACACAGCAGCAGTATACCCAAATCATTCCCCCAACTCAATTTCTCTCTCTAATTCTATTTCACTTTTCCATTACATAGAAAAAGAATATACTGCTCATTCTGACACATTTGCATCACAGAACTTTACAATATTACCCTTCAAATAAGAAGTCCCCAGATCTGTTGAGGCTTTGGAAGTTGCAACAAGGTCTTTTTCCTGAAGCACCTTCACGCCTGATTATGTAGTAAAGCAGGAGAGTTCTGCTTCTTCATAAATCCTGATCCACTGCTAAATGCCTGCTGGGTATTTTCTCACTGCTGTGTGCAATATTTGGTGCCAGATCAGAAACTCTCTAAATTGGATCCTTAGGGCATGAAGATTTGCTACTGTAAATTTTACCAGTTGTCTTCTCAAGTTCCCTTTTTAGAAGTAAACTTTAAAAAAGGGGAAGAAAAAGGTTTAAAAAAAATTGAAAGGGTGGCAAATCGGAGTCCTAAAAATAGGCTCAATCAGCAAGGCCCATCTTTTTTGGCAGGCAGGCCACAAATTAGACTCATACCTTCCCCAAGTTCCACCCTGATTCCCTTTCTCTACCCAATCTGCTGCTTTGCTTTCTGTACCCTTCTCCATACTCCCTGCCCCGTCTATTGCTCTGCTTTCTGGCCTACCTGCTACTGTGTTGCTTGTGCTACACTTAGGCTAGGGACAGAAATTATACATAAATCAGTATAAGTGATCAGAAACCGGTTCATATCTCTAACATAACAGAAGTTCAGTACACATAAATCACTTTCAAAATGGCTGAAGCTGGTTTGATATAAACCTGGATTGATGTAGTTTCAGACTTAACTGATTTAGGTTACATTGGTTTATTAAACTGGCTCAGATCCTCTGCAGATTCAAGTTAACTCTCAGTCCCCCTGCCTCCCAGGATGCTTTACACTTCCTGCACAGGGTGAGCGGACTAGCCTTGGCCCAACCTGTCTGCTCCAGCCGAGCAGGGAGGCATGCTCTAGCGCCCCCTGGCACCTGGCCTGGGCCACTGCAGGCATGTGACTGCATTTCTAGAATCAAAAGTAAATGTCTGTTCACTTGCTTATTAGTTCAATCTACACAGCTTAGACTAACCTGCAAAAATTGAATTGATTCAGCCTTGGGCTTTTTGACTCTCTGTTCTTAAACACAGGGGCTGCCCATGCCATTCGTGGCACCCGTGCTACAGGTTGGCCACCCCTGTCCTGAATCATGGTTTGAAAAATCATTGTTAAGTGTAAAATAGCCACCGCTATGATCCCCAAATAAATACAAGCAATGGTAATAGGCCAGGAGGTTTGGGTTTAGCTTTCATTTACCAGAGGGCAATTTCTGCAGTGTAGCTGATGCATTATAAATCCTCAGCCACACTTACCTGATAGAAAATTTGTTCATGTGCCCTTGCCCATGTTTTTGGAGTCATACTTAAAGACTCAGATTCTGCCTACATACCAGTCATTGTCTGAAGTCAAAACCCTGATTGGAGCCTGGATTTTGCAAGCATTCTGTGCATTTAATTTTGAACTCAAAGCATTTTTACACCTCCTGATTCGTGACATTATGAGTGCAAGGAAAACCACGTGAAGTTTGACAAAATCACTTTCCTATACAGTTTAACTGAAAGTACAGAAACTTTAAGCAACTTTACCACATAGTAAAATAACCACAGAGGCTGAAATGCAAAGCAGTTTCATTATCCTTCCTCCCTCTCTTTAATAATGTTTGTTCCCCCTTTTTGGGTGACCTGAGATTTGACTGGGGAACATCACAAAGGAAGGGCAACACAGAAAACCTGCTATCGTCATCACAGTCATATTCATCATAAACTTGAAGTAAAAAAAAAAAACAACTCATGGTAAACTTCTGTTTAAAATTTACAACAGGGTCCTCGAACCAACATATTCCAAGGTTAAGATAAATATTTGAACTTCTGGGCTAGGTACAGACATTCAAAAAGCCCAAGGTGGAATTGACCCAAGTTACATGGTTTTCTGTAAGTGGCATAGTTTAAATCAGTAGCGAACAAAACACACATTTGCCCTTTGGTGGGCTCTGTGCACCGAACTTCTGTTCTGTTATGAGTATAGACTGGTTTCTGACCACTTATACCAGTAAAAGTGTCACATCTGTACCTGGCCCTGATGTTAACTCAGCATGGAGCTGAATCCTTATGTTCTCTTATTTTCAACCAGAGTAGATTTACTACTATCAAGTCACATCGTACAAGTGCATGACAGTACATTAATTGCAATGCAGGCCATCCATCCCATTATGAAGAGTATAATAAACAGAGGAAAAGAAGACATGGCCAGTCCAGCACAAACACTCATATAACAGGAAGGGAGTTCTACACTTCTCCATGGGCATTTTACTTCATAATTGTGCTTCTGATCCAGCTGTACTTTATATAGCCGTAGCATCAAAACAACAACCATAACAATATCCATCAATATCTTAAAATGCATTGAAAATATTCGAGAAGGCATGTTGAGCACAGTGGGCACATATATACATGCTATTAATTCAAAGCAATACACTTCCTGTGTTTGCACGTGCAACTGGGACCACAGCAAGCTGAGCTAAGGCAGTGAAGTCCTGGATGACAGAGGGTCTGTGGGGGTGGAAAAATCAGCCTGCCATCTCGGGGCTGCTCTGAACATGTTTGGCACAGCCCAAACATCCTGTGCCCAAACCAGTTCAGGAGTAACCCTGCTAGGCACTGTCTCCAAGACACCCCTGCCTCCTCCAATGGCAGGAATAAATGGCTTCCAGCACTGTCCAGCCAGTGCACAAGAGATATGGAAACAAGGCTTCACATAGTTCTCAAGGAAGGAACCTACAACGTAGCAGTTCCATTCACCCCAACCCTCCTGAACTCAAGTCTACTGTGCTCTGTAGTGTAAGTGTGGCTCTGATCCCCCCCAAGTAGCCATGTGACTTAAGGAATACATCCTTTCTCAGTGTCCCATCTGATGCTACACACAGAACCAATGCCATAATAGGGACTGGAACAGTCTTTCCGTGTTGAGCTCTTGGTGATGACCACCAGACCCTGCTACTTACTCTCCTCTCTGGAAGAAGAACTTGTTAAAGCAAAAGTCACATATTCAAATCCCAGACTGAGCCTGAACCATCAGGAGTTACATCTTCCTCAAACTTGACAATGTGATGATAGCAATCCATCTGGAGGAAAGCAACCACCTACCCAGATGCTGTCCTCTTGTCTGTACTGCTTCCAATTGCGCCCCGTGTCACTGAACATGAGAGTGTAGCTTGTCACCCAATCTGAGCTCCCATACCTCCCTTGGGTGGCAACTCCTGCAATCTCAAGTCTGTCTCCCAAATCAATCTGGAGCCATTGTTGCTGATTAGATTCCAGTGGGGACCAACCACCAGCTCCTAGGAGAGATCAAGAAAAAGAAAAGGTCTTGAAGAGGGCATCTCTCAGTACCGATACAAACATCCTTTGAATCATAAATTACTGCAAACTTGCCTTCCTCTTCATCAAACACGGAGACATACCTATGAGTATTTTTACGCATGCGATGCTTGGAGATTACAATAGCACCCAAGCTTATGGTGTCTGTGCTTATTTAATTACAGTAAAAGTTGAATCTAATTAAGGAAATTCCAAGGAAATCTCCATTTCCAACCACTGACAAGCACACATCAAAGAGGATGAAAGCTCTCTGTTATAAAACTATATTTATCACCACCACATCTGTTTGCACAGATTCTGGGATGCAGTTTTATACCTTCTATTTTGCTTTAACCTTCTCCCTCCTCCCCCACCACCTTTATGTTTTGAAAGATGCTCATAAGTGCTCGTTATTGTGATCTGTGTAGAATATTTGACAGGAGTCTTTAATTGCAAGATGCCGTAAGACAACATTGAAAAGTAATAGGCTTTCAGCACCGTGATGCCTCTGTAACATGACAAGAGCCGTGAAATTTCAGCACCGTTGGTGAGATGCAGTTTGCAAAAGAACTGCCAAGGGACTGGGTTTATTTTTCCTTGAAATGCTATAGTGAATGAGGCACAAAACCACTTTTCCTGCTAACCACCTGTTTTTTGTTTTTTTTCAGATAACATATTCCTGCAGAGGAGATTTCAGCTATACCTTGATAAAGAGAGAAACAGTGAATTAGAGTTTGAGAAACTGAATGTTCATTAAATTCGCCTGTACTAAGGCGACCTTGATTTGCGGATCAGGTACCATTTTGAAGGAGGCATCTTCAACCTGTGCAGGCTCCGAGCAAGCTCCAAAGTCCAGACAGACATGCTTTGTGACTTCCTCTTCCCTAATGACTGTGCGTTATGTGCAGGGTCACAGGCTGACATGCAACAATCCATGGACCTACTGTCATCAGCCTGTGACAACTTCGGACTCCCAATTAACATGAAGAAGACCGAAGCGATGTTTCAACCTGCACCAGGCACAACACCCCAGGATCCACACATCTCAGTTAAAGGCCAACAACTGTCGATGGTCGATAAGTTTGCCTAGCTGGGCAGCACGCTCTCCCGTGCTGTCTACATTGATGACAAGGTCAATGTGAGACTAGAAAAGCTAGTGTGCTTTCGGCAGACCCTGTAAGTCAGTCTGGGACTGCAAAGGCATCAGAATGTCGACAAAACTGAAGGTTTACAAAGCCATCATCCTTCTGACCCTCCTCGATGCCTGTGAAACCTGGACCATTTACCAGCATCGTGCCAAGAAACTAAATTACTTCCACCTGTGCTGCCTGCAAAAGATGTTAAAGATCAAGTGGCAGGACAAGATTCCTGACACCAAGGTGCTCAGAAAATCAACTCTCCCCAGTATTCATACCCTGCTGAAATTGGCACAGCTAAGATGGGCCGACCACCTGTCAAGAATGCCTGACACTCACCTGCCAAAGAAAGTCTTTTATGGAGAATGGTCAAATGGATCATCCCCCCCCAGTATTCATACCCGGCTGACCCTGGCTCAGCTAAGATGGGCCGGCCACCTCTCAAGAATGCCTGACACTTGACTCCTGAAGCAAGGCTTCTATGGAGAGCTGTCAAACGCAGTACGCTTTTGCGGTGCAAAGAAGCGGTACAAGGACACCCTAAAAGTGTCCCTAAAGAGTTTTGGCATGAACCCAGTCACGGACGCAAATTGCTTGCGAACGTCCATCCTGGAGGTCCCAAATCCAGAATGGATTGTCACCCTTTGAACAGCAACGCACGGCAGAAGCAATGAAGAAACACATGTCCAGGAAAACGAAAACCTCCCATATCCAGTCCTCATTGCTCTCCTGCCCCTGCTGCAGCAAATTGTTCAAGGCAAGCATTGGACTTATAAGTCACCTACGTACTCACGTGACCTAGCCCTCACCCTACTTTGTTCTCTTCCCTTTCCCTTTTTTCCCTCCTTTCCCACTTCTTTCCTCCCCTCCCCACACTGGATGCAGTTGTTTTTGCCCATAAAGGATGAACAACACACGAAGGTAGTCCTTGATTTTGTTTTTAAGTGAATAACTGAAAAAGAAATGTAAAAACAAAAAAACAAAACCAACAACTCCCCAAATCCCTTGGGTTCCTAAGACATGACACTCCACCCATTTATGAACTATTTTGGTTATCTGGAATAAAACACACAGAATTCACCAAAACCAAATCTCTTTTCCCTACCTGTAAGCTCTTTTATTAATGATTCACTTTCTGCTTCAAGACTTTCTGCTTATTTGGGGAATAATATCCTGGGGTATATGGTACCTAGAGAGTCCCAATAGAGTAAGGCAAACTTTCAAACTTTTAACAAGTTTTCTGCAAAGAACCATACAAAAAGAGATTGTAACTGAGCTGATGCTTATGATTTGTTTGTGGCCTGCTTTGTGTTGTCTTTCTTTTCCGTTGTAATAAAATAGTTATTGTTCTGAACACTTGTTTTTTAATTGGGGTATCTCCTTGCTCAAGGCAAGAGCCTTATGAAACTAAAACAACAAGACTCCCACCTTTCAATTAAGATTTGTCCCATGTCTTCTGTCTCTCCAGGCAATAACTTTTTCAGTCATTTGAGAAATAACATTCTTTGGTGCTCCGGATCTTTAAAAAATAAACAAAAATATCCTTTCTACCCCTTATCACAGATTCACAGAAGTTTAGGGCTGGAGGGACCTCATGAGATCATTTGGTCCAGCCTGCCTGCTCTGGGCAGGGAAGACTGCTGGGGTCAAATAACCCCAGCAAGGTGCGTGTCCAGTCTCTTTTTGCAGATCTCCAGGGTAGGCACCTGCACCACCCCTGCTGGGCATCTATTCCAGAGTCTGGTCTCACGACCCGTGAAGACGTTTTTCCTTATATCCAGTCTGAAACCTTCTTTTAGGAGTTTATGACCATTGCTCCTGTTTTTGTTTTTTGGGTTTTTTTTTTACCTACGGTGCTTTGGTGAATAGTTGTTCACCTATCCCCTGATGCTCTCCCCCGATATATTTGTAAGCTGACACCAAATCCCCCCAAAATCTTCTCTTTTCTAGGCTGGAGTCCCATATCTGTCAGCCGTTCCTCGCATGGCTATCAGATACTTTCACTAGACTTCAAAAATAACTCTTAAAGGGATATGGAGAAAAGACCTTTGAACAATTTGAGAGTTGCACGTACTTTGACAGATCAGATTCCAAAACAGAAGGCAATAACACCTAAGTTTTTATATGCAAGAAAGGATAAAAAAGTAGTATAGAAATCCCAGGGGCTGTTGGACAATGCAAATCCAATTTTAAGGTATTCATTGGATTTGTGGCATGATGTCACTGACATCACCATCCTAGGAGGTTCGTGCTGTGCGCCTTTGGTGAAAAATTACTAAAGCTGGATTTCTCTTGCCTTAGCCTCACGGCTTCATCAATCCATCTGTCTGACAGCCGTTATGGTAGATCACTCTACATAACGCCAAATCAGAGGTAGCCCAACCATTTGTTGATGAGCTGTCCTCGTAGAAATCACAATTCTTTCTACTGTTATACTACCCTAAGCATCATCATAACTGAGCATTTCCCAAGAGTTTATTAAACAATGTGTTCACATCTATCATATGTAGTTCATTCCTTCTCCCACCCACTTCTCAGGGGAAAATTGAGAGCACAGCAGAGTTTTCTTTGGAAAGGTTAGCAATCTATTTAATCTGTATTCCCAACTATGTGTTTACAGTAGAGAAAGCTAGTCTGGAATGACACCTTGCACTTGGAGTGACAGTTGGGGAAGTTTGAAATGGGCTTTAGCTCTCAAACTAACGCTTTCAAATTGTGTCTACATTGCCCACTACCTTCTGCTGTTTTTGGAAGAAAGTAAAGGCAGCTTGTATTTACTAATTACATTATTTGCATTTAAAACAGAGCATGATACAGCAATCACAGCTCACCCTCTGCTCCAGCTTTCTGTAGCTTGTTCTAATCACATCCAAAGTGGTCCCAGCAGCTGCATCCTGTCTTCCTACTGAACAGATTAGAAAAGGAATCCCTTCCCAGTTCCCTCCCTCATTCCAGCCATGTTGCCATTGGCTTATAGCAGCACAAATGAGGACACTTCTCTACCAATGCAATATCTGGTTAATTAGAGGCAGAGATCCACACTTTCCCTTACTGCTTTCCATTCTCTTGCTCCAATGAGAAAATTGCAACGCCCACAGCACCTGCTTACTGCTGCATGGCTTCAGCCTGAATCTGGATCACTTAACTTCCACAGACCTCCTGAGGCTAAAAAGAAAGGCCTACAAAGGATGGAGGATGGGAGTCACCTCCGAGGAGGATTATTCTGCACTGGTCCGGTCCTGTAGGGAGCAGACCAGGAAAGCCAAGGCTGCAACTGAACTCCAACTAGCTTCGAGCATCAAGGACAATAAAAAGTCCTTTTTCAGATATGTGGGGAGCCGGAGGAAAAGCAGAGGCAACATTGGACCCCTGCTGAGCCAGATGGGGCAACTGACAACTGACGC